AACGTACACCTCTTCTTGTAATGGACCATTCAGAAATGCAGATTTTACATCTAAATGCATCAGAGGCCAATTCCTGTTAGCAGCTATTGCAATCATTAGTCTGATTGTTTCATGTCTCGCTACAGGTGCAAACACTTCAAAGTAATCCAGCCCAGACTTCTGTAGAAAGCCTCTTGCTACTAATGTCGCTTTGTGTTTTCCAATTGATCCATATGGCTTTAGCTTCTGCTTGAAAACCCATCTGACGATGATGGCTTTCTTGCCTTTTGGAAGTTCCGTCAACTTCCAAGTCTTGCTTCTCTCTATAGCATCAAGTTCTTCTTTCATGGCCTGTAACCAAACTTGCTGCTTAAGAGCCTCTTCCGTACTCACGGGTTCAGAGTCTACTAACATTGCACACTGAATAACTTCTCCTCCAGAGTCTACTTCAGTGTCTTGCAACATGTCAAACTCTACAAATCTTCTTAGGATGCTTCTGACTCTTTGTTGCCTCTGAACTAGACCTTCAGAACTTTGGACACCAGAACTTTCCCCTTCAGAAGCACTTGCTTCAAAATTTGGACTTTCTCCAGAACCTTGACTATCTTCAGAGTCTGGATCACCATCGAAGTCAGAGCCACTACCTTAAAAAATACTATCTTCAAAATTTGGATCAGCTCTGCCTTCAGAAGTTCTACTTTCTGAATCACGATCATCTTTAAAGGCTGAATTTTCTTCAGAAGCTCCTCCTTCAGAAGTTCCACTTTCAGAATCATGATTTCTACCAGAAACATGATCATCTTTAGAAGCTTGTCCTCCAGAACCTACGTCTTTAGAGTTTTCCCTTCTAGAATCATGATTACCACCAAATTCTGGATCATCATCAAAATATGGATCAGAATCAGATTCACCATCTGACTCACCTTCAGAGTTTCCAGAGTTATCATCTTTTGACTCTTCTTCAGAAGCAGAATCTTCTTCAGACTCAGAATCACCTTCAGATTCTGACTTGTGTTCAGCTTCAGAGTCATCTTCTAACTCTAACTCGTCTTCAAAAACCTCAGATTATGACTCATCTTTAAAATCTTCAGCGTCATCTTCTGATTCTGACTCGGAGTCATATTCTGATTATGACTCATACAAAATCACTCCTTCAAAATCAGAATATTCAGAGTCATATTCTTCCCCTTCAGAATCAGAAAATGAAAATTTCACTGGTTCCTCATCAGATTCATAAGCCATAAATAGCACATGTTCATCATCTGAATCTCCTCTGGCTACATTTACTTCTTATGACTTCCTTTCTTTCTTTGACTAGCTTTGGCATAGTAACCAAAGTTCCTGCAACAGTAACACTTAACATTCTTCTTGTCAGACTTCTCCTTTCCCCTCTGGATATTCTTCTGCCTATCAGAGTTTGAAGCTTCTGACTTTTTACCACCATTAGTTCTCTTCCTAGCTTATGACCAAGTCATCTTCTGATGCTTTTTACCAGAAGTTACCTTCAGAGCCTGTTGCTCTACTTCCCTCTTAAAATTCTTGCAGTCATACGCAACTCATGCGCCTCTAGACTACTTTGCAGCTCTTCAACTCTCATGGTACTCAGATCTTTAGAATTTTCAATTGCTACAACAATGTAATCAAACTGAGAAGTTAAAGATCTCAATATCTTCTCAATAATTATTTGTTCAGACAAAGTTTCTCCACAAGCTTTCATCTCATTAGTAATCAGAATCACTCTAGAGATGTATTCAGAAACCTTCTCGTTGTCCTTCATGTTGAGATTCTCATATTGCTTTTTGAGAGACTGAAGCTTCACCTTCTTCACTGATGCGTCACCACTGTAACATCTGACCAGTGTGTCCCACGCAGCCTTTACTGTTTCAGAATCAGCAATCTTCTCAAACACATTCACATCCATACATTGATGGATGTAGAACAACGCTTTCTAATCTTTCTTCCTCAGCGCCTTCTGTGCTATCTTCTGGGCCTCTGTTGCGTCTGCTTCTAACAGATTATAGCCATCAGTGACAAGATCTAACACATATTGAGAATCAAATAACACGCGCATCTAGATCTTCCAATGATTCCAATTTTTGCCATCAAATACTGGAAGCTTGGAATGAATATCGTTGTTTCTGTTCATCTTCTACCTTGTGAAATTTACGCGGAAACTCAATGAAAAATCAATGTTTCCCAAATTCTAGAGTTTCTAACCAGGAGCTCTAGATACCAATTATTAGTGCACAAGGAAGATAAAAGGCAAAAGGAATATTTACTGATAGCTTCAAAATAATGATTTACAATGAATTACAATAACCTACTCCACTAGGCTATTTATACACACAAATTAAATCTAAAATATATCTTCTACAAAGATATAAGAAGATTTAAGATATATATATATATATATATATATATATATATATATATATATATATATATATATATATATATATATATATATATATATATATATATATATATATATATATATATATATATATATATATTCTAACAAAGATATAAACAATCTAAAAGATATTCCTAAATATAAACTAATATCTAATTAAATCTAAATTATTTCTAACACAAATCAAGTATTTCAAACATATAGCAACAATAGGTTCAAACAGAATAGTAACATATAACAATGATTACCGACTCAGAATAATATAGAAACAAACAACAAATTGGTTATAAAGAAAACCGGAAGCGAGAAATCGAGTTACCTACGGCGAGGAGAATTTCTCTGAAACAGTTTTAGATAGTATTTCGGTTCTTCTGCTTTCCTCTTTGGTCGAAATCTGTTAGTTCGTCCATTTGATGTGATGCTTATGCTTTATGTTGTCGTTGTTGATGTTGTTGTAATTCCCTGAAACTTCCGTTTACAGGTACAAAAGTTAGTAAAATTTGATGAAAATAGATTGTTGGGTTCTGTGATAGATAGAGGTTTGAGTTTTCTTTGTGAAGAAAACTTGCAGAAGTGTTTTGAGAGGTTTTGAAGGTAAACTTTTTTTTGTTGATATTTCTGTATGATTTTTTTTAGAGGTTTTTTTTGTTGTATTCTTCCTTAGCCACCCTTTTGCCTCTTGTGTCTTTCTACCCTCAATTATTTCCACATTCCTTCAATTGTTCCTTATTCCTATACTAACTCTTATTTTCTTTTAAATTAATTAATAAATAATTTTACCACAAATTCACCAATTTCTACTATTATTTTAATAATAATTCTAATTTCTTATTCTAATTTTAGTTAAATAATAATAATAATAATAATAATAATAATAATAATAATAATATCTAATTATTTTCTAACTATTCTACCAAACACCATATTTCCACTACACCCTACCAATATCATTACACCCCAAACAACGCATAATAACATGTAATTTATTTAATCAAAATACATAATAATTAAACAAATACATAAATAATTCAATTAAATCAATTTTTTAAAATTGAGGTGTTGCAATGTCCAGAAGAACTTGCCTCTTTTCAATTTTCTCTTTATTGTTAGGCAACTACGTCTGAGTCTCTTTTCGAGGATTTATGGTAGCAACATGCTCTGACCGTGACATGTTATTATCAAGCTGGACGAATTTAAACATGGCGCCCAAAATCAGTCTCAAGGTCTTTATCTGGCCCCGATCGCTATGCTAAGCATTTCGTCTTGTAAGGCTTCATACTCTCATACGTCAAGATGGTCTACATTAGTTATTTCATCGACCGTATTCCTCATTTTCTCAAGAGTGGCAACTTATGCAAGGGAGTTCTTATGTGGTACTTTTTGTATAAGACGAGCTCCATAGAGATCAGATCTAACAAGGATTGTTTGGCCTGAATCATTATGGTATTCATCTTCAAATGGACCATAGTTTATATGGTGTCCAACATTGCCATGAATGATCTCCTGAGAAAGCAGGTGTGGACGCTTTCTCCAGTAACCACAAGAAAAAACATGTTTGTAGTTCTCTTGTTCTTCCTTACTACGAAGGAAACTGGTTGGCCAACTGCTCCACATGGCCGAGTCAAAGATTCGTTGAATGCTATGAGGCTTCTGCCTTCACATGACTTCATATCTTGTATGTGTAACCTAAATTTTCTAAAGATTCTGAGATACACTAGGTTGCACAAATTTCCATTATAAATGAGGATCCATGACACCAAATGATTGATTAAGGTGGAGGGTATGACCAATGTAATTAGTATCGTGTTAGGAGTCTTATCCAGATTATTGTGGTTTTGAAACCCTAACATATGTCTATCTTTATGTCACTTCACGATCTTAATACTGCTCTATGGCAGAGGGTTTTTCTCGTTATGCGGCTTCTAGCCAATCGAATCTACGAAAAGATCGGAGGTGGTCCAAAAATTGGAAGGATCTAGGTGCTATATGAAGTAGGGTCGAGAGTTATTTTATTTGCCAGCGTGACTGCTACATCAATTGTGACTTGAATTAGACGAATCTGATTGTGGAAATTTGCTGGAATAAGATATTGTATACCCACATACATCTTCACTATTTAGTTAAGAACTAAAAATGATTGTCGAAAAGATGAGGTAATGTTTTGCTACGATGGACAAGTGTTTTCGGTGCAGTCAAAGTTAACACTTTAACGCCTAAGTTAATGAGAAAATAAAAAGTATTGTGTGAGTGAGAGTAGATTTGAATCATATAGTTTCCTTTATATGGGATCGCTTATATATGTGCATTGGTCGATGTGTTCAAATTTTAAATTACATGTGAGCTTTCTCTTATTGGGTCAAAATAAATTGTATAATTTGTCTGAATTCCATCTCAAAGTCTTTACATAATTAAAATTCATCTAAAATCCCTCTGAAAATTAATGTCAATTGGGACGAAATTTATTCCATTTAAAATTATTGTATGACAATTATTCTATTTAAAAAATAATAAATGAAAGTGTGAGAAACCTAACAAGACTTATAAAAAAGAAGAAAATAATTGATTCTAAATAGCCTAAAGTAAAAAATAACAAACTGGTTAGATTTTGCTAATGATTATATGGAGAAGCTTGTTGAATCCTATTTTTTCTTTTTTGTAGAAATCTTTGCAAAGATATTTTCATTGAAAGAGCAGGACCAGGGCTATACAATTGATGAGGAGATTGTACTATTGTTTGTGTTGAAGGCTCTGACCCTGTTGGTGTCTTCACTGTTTCTTGCACCTTTTTGTTTGCCAGCATTAAGATAGATTTGGCCTGCAAGACATTCACATTAGCCAATTTATTATTAATGTTTCTCGAAGAATATGTGCTTTGTTGGTCGCATATATATTATATCTGATAACGTATGTATGTGTTTGACACATGTATCGACACTTGTGATTACATTTAATTTATTATTTTTTAAAATTATTATTAGTATCGTCGTGTTAGTATCAGATTATCGAATTTTTTTCGGGTGTTATTAAGTGATCATATAATTATGTATATCATCTTCAAGAAGAGAGGCCACTCAAAATCCAAACGTTATATAAATAAAATTACCTGAAGCGCAGTGACATCAGTAAAACACATCTTGCCATCGTAGAAAATGGTCAGTGGCCGTTGCTGATTTTGCATTGAACTCTCATCACTGTCTTTTTCTTCTTCAACCCTTTAATTGAGATAGAACAACTAAGATTTAGTTGAAAACACAAACGTAAAAAAACAAAACAAATAATTACAAAATACTAAACAAATTAAACCGAAGACAATACAAAAACAAAAACAAATTGCTTACATGTGATTTCCATCAGAAACGTATGGAGGATAAAGGCAAAGTTCCAAGTTACAATTCCTCTTCATCTTTTCCAGAGAGATACACGAAGTGAAGATGTGAAAATGTTGAAGGTATAAAGTGCAAGTAGAGTAGCCTATATATATAAATGCTTGTTTAGTTAGGCGCAGCTGGAATGGAAAAGAAAGTGAAAGGAACACACATTGAGGAACAAAGAATTAAGATTAGAGGATGTTTTCAACCATCTTGTTTAATACTTATTTTATGTCACGTGTTTGCGTAGCGCACAGGAAACCGCACACCACAAGTAAATTTCTCACTCGCGTGTCGGCACCACAGGCTCATAATAAAAAAATGGCAACAGTATTTGGATGTGACCTACAAAATCAAAGAGGAATATCGACAAACGAATAGGAAAGGAAAAGGTTCACACTTCACAATTACCCACAAGTTTCGTATTATATTCCCTACTGAAACTATTAGAATAACAAGGTTTTTATTATTCATATTAAAATAAGAAGTGAAGTTATCTTCATCGCCCATCAAAGATGAGGTAAAATAGAGAAAATAACTATATAGAGAAACTTTCGTATGATGGATAACGAACGTCTTTCTTTAGTGATTAGAGAGGAAGGTATTTATAAAATTAGTACTCTAATACTCAAATTAATGTTCGTGAGAGATGGAATTATGCAATAGAGTTGCATGTATTCGTTAGTCATTGGATTTCTTTATCTCGAATGAGTTGTATAGTTGTATCTATCTTATTAGGCTATTGATCATCCCATGATACAGTCGCAAACATTAGAGATTAGTAAACGCTAAATCTAGAATAAGAATACACGATTGTAGGTGCAAATTTATTAGATAAATTTTAACAAGATAAAGAAAATACTGAATTTTATTATTATCAAAGATGATCTTTGAGTCACACCAAAAGTGTTTAAATATCAAAATAAAGAAATTTTAATGGACTTTTAATTCAAAACAGAAATAAAATATAAATAATTTGAAAAATATTTAAATGTTCTTTTTAAGTCTGAAATAAATTCGGATGGCTTAAAAGTCTTTCTACATCAATCTCCTTCACCTCTGAATAACTTGACCTCGAGTTCTTTTCCTTATAAAGAGGCTCATCCGTTTGATATTCATGAATGTCAGCAAAATTAAAAGTATTTGATATATTCATGAAATTGATGAGAACTACCACATAAGCATTATAGTCGATCTTTTGGATCATTGTGAATGGGTCATACTTGCGTGGATGCAGTTTGTTGTAAGTACCAACTGGAAGCCTCTCCTTACGCATAAACATCATCACATTTTCTTTCTTATTAACAAATTTTACTTTCGGGTGTTTATCTCGCATAGGAGCCAAATCGTTTAGTAGCTCATCTGTGATCAATTCCTTGAAATTCTCTAAGATCCCTAGCATTTCTTCTGGAATTGTTGTTTTCTCCTTTATAATACTCATCGGCCCTTTACCCACCACTTGACAGAAAAATTCAGTTTCTTTAACAGCCCCATCAAGCTACTTTTCACTGTGTCATCACCAAAAAAATATATTTCTTTGCTCTTGGATTCTGATCAAAGTGCAAAACATGAGCCATATCAATTTTATGTATACCATATGGAAACATCATCGCGTTATCTCGTCCTCGATAAGTGATATCATTATCAAACTGTCAAGTTCTACCAAGTAAAATATGACAAACATCCATATCAAGAACATCACAACGTACCTCATCTCTATAATGTTTTCTGATGGAGATAGGAACTTGTTTACCCTGTAATTTGGTAAACAACCGTTGATCTTCTAAATCTCTAAAAAAAGATTCAGTTACTTAGGAGATCGATCAGATTGATCTCAGGACTATTGTGTTCTACTTTTTAGGAAAAAAGGTTTTGATGATAACTTCTTTAAACGAAGAGAATCACTTTGATATCAAATAAAGTGTTCTTATAAAATCAATAAAATAGAAAACAATTCTAGACTGTAAATCGTAAAGAATATAAATGACATGAAGAAATTTCATTAAATATAAATAACTTTCGAATGTAAATATGGTGCATCATACGTACATGTCTCACTAACTCGTTTCTCTAACACTGGTACTTTGAGTATTTGAGTATATTGTACAAAGATGTGAACACACTTGAATCATAACATCTAAGACTCCTATTTATACTAATTCGATCCTAACGTTCTTTCTATGAGATTACGCCACGTTCGACACCTTTTACATGCAGACATTCTGGCATTTCCACGCGTCTTTCTGGCGAAATGCATTAGTTTGAAATTTAAACTTCCCGCTCGAAGATTTTTTGAATTCAACTTTGAATTCAACCAACGTGACTGTCGAAGTATTTCACATATCTTAAAATATTATTTTAAGTTCCTCTTTCGACATATCGAATCATAATTTTTTCTTTCTTTTTACAAAAATAACCTTGTAAGGTCCAATTTCATGTTATTTTTTCTTAGACCATGACCTTCTCACATCAACTTTCATATTTTTATTAAATATCAAAATCTTCAGCTAACAAATTTCCCCCAATAAATGTCCATTTCGAATCAATGCAGAAATGACCATTTTTTGTAATCACCAGATTTCGACTAGCAACCTTTCATTTCCTTCATTTCCTGACGTCATAGTTAATCATGACTGCCTTTTTCCAAAACGTCTCATCAAGGCATGCGTGCGACAGTTTCACCATTATTATATACCAACTTCCAAGGACATGAATATTGATCTTTCACTTTCCTCCGTCAGATGTTGACACGTTCCCCACGAACTTCCTGAGGTGTAACCTCCCACGTCACCACTTACCATTATAAAAAAGTTACCTTTTTTATTATTCCTCTTTCTACTTTTGCAAACTCAGAAATCTTCATACTCTCTTTAATTTTCACTCTTATTTCTTCTTGAAAAATTCATCAGTTCTTCAAATCAACAACAATGTCTTCCGGTAAACAAGATTCAAAACATGCTGAGAAATATGGAATCTCTAAAGGTTCATCTTCTCAAAACGTACCAACAAGCAAAATCATCACTTCTGGGAATCAAGAATTTATCACACCTCCCAAACTCACTAGGGAACAGAGAGCCATTTATGCTTCTCAGGTACTAATTCCTTCTTTGTTTTATGGTAAAACCTTAGGTTTCTTAGGGCCTTTAATCGCTACAGGCGGTTTAGAAAAATATGTGGAATTTTTTCCAACCTATCATGTTACTAAACCTTTAGCAAATAAAACTGTGGCTTCTGAAGAGAACATTGAGGATTCAACCAAGAAACCTAAAAAGTCTTCTAAGAAAACTTTTGAAAGTAGTTCTTCAAATCCTAAGATAAAGAGAGAAGCTTTCCAATTGGATTATATAACTGAGAGCTTTAGACCTTTTAGATCATGTGCATACTTAGATAAATCTTACTTAGCTTGGCTTACTAAGGTTGAGAAGAAGAAAACACCTTACACATTTCTATTAGCTTCCCTGTATTTCTTGGATAGTACCTATAACACCTTTCACCTCCCTTATGGGATGATAACTCCCACCTTCTTTGATATAGCTGCCACTACTGGACTTCCTCCTACTGGATAGGCTTTTGATCCCTATTTGGAGTCGGAAAACACCATTGACTTTAATGTTAAAAATGCCTTTTTTAGTACTTACATAGATCTACATCATGTGGACGGTGAAGAGGTTTCTGATGTTGAGCATATAGATTTCTTAGCTCTGTGTTTATCTAAATTCATTTTTTGTTGCAAATATCTGCGAGTGGCTAAGAGATTTCTAACCTTGGCGAACCAGTTATATTCTGGTCGAAAAGTATGCTTAAGTGAGTTGCTTTTATCCAGTTTGTATGAAAGTTTAGGGGCCGCTGCTGCCAAACTAACAGATTATGAAGCAGGTACCAACTTACTTCTATCTGGACCTTACTGGCTACTTCAATTGTGGCTAAATGCCACTTTTGAACCCTCTTTCCAAACATCTGGAAATATTGATGAAGAGGACCCCAAAATAGCAGGTCGAAGTATTGAAGGAATTAGACTCTTACAACTAACTCCCAATGATGATGCTGAGACCCTTCAAGCTTGCCTCACTAAATATATGTTGATGTTTTCGAAAGTCATAATTTCACTCCCACTATGGCTCCTTTCTCCAGTAGAACTCATGGTCCCTCCCGATTTACCTTGTCAATTGAAGATATTATAAAGAATGCAGACACTAGCATTGAAAACATATGGCGCACATTCCTTCTTCCTAGACTTCTAGTCTCTAGGATCTTACCAGTGAAGAGCCATGTTTGCTTATTATCTTATCAACCCAACTTTGTCTCTCGATAATTTGGATTGTGTCAACTTATCCCTGAGCCTCTTTTCAGTAAAAAACGTGAGATTTGCGTTGCAGGTATAGATTACTCCGTTCAAGATATCCAGAAACACCAAGAGTACCATGCTAATTTTGCTGAATTTGGTCTCATTCCTTATCATCATGTTTTCTACATGACCAAAGGCTTCTATACCTGGTGGACTGACTTTTATTCGGACAACATGTTCGACACTGCTCAAATAAATGAACATTTAACAAAAGCTTTTTTCCTTGTGCAGGAAAACGTCCCAAAAGGTAAACTAACTCATACTCAGGAAATTCAGGCTTTCGAAAAATTCTTTGAAACTGTCTATGATCCAACCAATCTTAGTCGAACCGTTTTCCAAGCAGCAGCTACTTTAAAAGAAAAATTTACAAAGAAACTTCCACGTTTAAAGATTCCCTCTTCTATAAAACCGGAACATAGATATGATTTGGCCTTTGAGTTGCAACCACCAAAATTTCCAAAATTGCCTAGTGTTGATTTCGCCTTAGCGTTCTTTCCCCCCTATCCAAATTGGTTTACTTATGGCAATATTTTCAATGAGTTAAAAAATGACTCCCAAAAACCTGCTAAGAGGGTGGTTCCGACTAAGTGCACTCTGGACTGTTTCAAAGGTTTCCTTCATTATGACTTATCAACAGTCTCTATTGTGTCTCCGACACATGAAGGTGTGGAACCAAAGGATTCCTTGGTC